ACAACATCCATATAAACGACATTATCACAATATGAATTGGTTTTTGTACAATATAATTATAGGCAGTAACTAAAGCAACTACAATACCCGGTAATACGGTATTCATGATTAACATTGAATGTACAATCGAGAAAGTACCTACCAGTTTATTCAATATAAGTACATATTTCAAGTGAAACAGATCTTACACATGTAAGTGCACACATAAGCGTGCAATAGACATAGACATTTTTACATCAAAAGGTAAATTTATTAAGTACATTATTTCACAAATTGTAAGTACACGCGTGCTAATATATTATATAATGCAAAAGGCGAGCTAGTGATGATATGCATTTTATTTCTCAAACTACCGCTATTATTTGTTTGTTGTAACACTGGAATGTATAAATATTAACAAAAATAAAGGTCAAAGAAATAAATTTTAATCGTTAAAAGATTAAGTAGTTTTTTTTTTGAGTTATTTAACTTACAATTATTAGTTTGTAGTCAAGCATTGTGACTGCAAATTTGCAAGAATTGTAAGAAATTAGAAATAATTAATGTCATATAAACAACAAGGCTCACAATTTCACTAAAATCCTGTCCGGTTTTAGTCGTGTGTTGCTCATCGAGATGCAAAGTTTTCGGTGAAGAATTGATCTCTCAGTAAAAATTCACTTCATAATATCAATAACGACTAACAATTATAATTTTAACTGAATTTTCAGAAATTATGTCTTAAAAACAAACGTCTCATAAGCGTACATATAACATTCACATGGAATTTTATTTCCAAACTAAATGAGATAAATTAAGTCCACTAGATGCATGTGTAATTACAATTACGTACAACAGACATTGCAACCTATTTGAATACCATAACTACTTAATTTGGTTAATACAAGTTTAACCATTCTTCTCATATACATACATATCCCGTTCTAATGAGCTTTCCTTACCGATTGTGAGTCTAGTTATTTATATGAACTCAATGGAAGAAATTAATAAACCGATAACAAAATATACGTAACATCTAACAAAACAAATTATTTACACAAAATTCTACTACATCGTGGAGTAATTTATTGTTTCACCATTTTTTTACCCAATATCCAATTCTATTAACATGTTTTTTAAAATAAAAAAGTATAAAAAAACAGATCCACGAATATAGGTAAATATCCTACAAATATACAAGTATATACAAAAGGCAAAATATATCCAAAACCCTATAGTAGGAATATTATATTAGCAATAAGTTTAACGATAAAATACTGCATTGTTCGATCGATGTTACGCGCTATTGAACGCAAGCGCTCGGTCCGTAATAATACTGTATGGACGAAATATATTGCGGTATTTACTTTTAACACGATAAAGAATAGATGTGCAACGCAAAAGCACAGTGCAGTTCAACTGGTGATTAAGTACATATAGTTACGTAGATATTACAAGCGATATACTAGTGATATTTGAATTATAATGTGACATTATTTTAATACACTCATTTTACATGCGGATAATAATTACAAAGAACGACTACATATATTCAGCCCCTCTATCATGAGCACCGCGATATGATATATCACGCGTTTTTATCATGCTCAATTGTCTGTCAGATTACTATGGAGTTCGACAGTTAGACATGATAAAAAACGTGATATAATGTTAATTGTGGTGCTCATGCTACGAGGAGTGGTATGCTTTTTTATCGTCAAGAAACATGTAAAAATATATGATATTATGAAAAGGAGAAAAAAAAATCTTATCTGGTTTTAGCATTTTTATGTGGTTTTTAAACATGAAAAATAAGTTGGAAATAAACTTTGGTTAAATCAACTTTTTGAGTTCCTCGTGTAGATAATAATAGTCGAGTTTACTTTACAATAACATTCTAAAGGTTTTTTAGAATGTCTGTTTACTGAGCAATTAATAATGTTGAGAGACAATTAGGTCTCTTGAACTACTGTACTAAATGATTACGCAAAAATGTCATAATGGTTATTAATTTGTGCAATTGTAATACTATCCATTTATTATGATCCGACAAAGAATTACCATTTTATATCATACAACAAGCACGTTTTTAAGTAGTTTAACAAAATATCATATAAATATAATGCTATACAATCATTAATATTTATTATTTTCTCTAACGATCAAAATATATTTCTCAATAAATAAGTTCACAAATCCGTTACACATAGTTCCACTGGCAGGTTTTACTGTTTTATGGACATCCACAGTTGCCATTAGATATACTGCACTCAACAAGGTGATAAAATATTTCGGAGCATATATAAAAATAACAGTATTTTTACATAATGATCACTTCGTCTGCTACAATATTTCTGATAGCGATTGTTTGTACATGCGGTCGAAAAAACCTTCAAACCTTTTTTTAGATTCGGAAAATGGTTTTCTTTCCTTTCCAAAAAAAGGCTGCAAAACCATCATATATATGTGGTATCTTTTTCATACCATATTTTGTTGTTATTTGAAACTAACAGATTTTATGTTTAGTTTTTTTCTAACTATTAACTGTACAATTTAATTTACAAAGATTCCTTTCGCTGTTGAAAATGACAGCAACTAACGACATTGGACACATTAAATTCTTGTCTAAAAGCGAATATTATATTCAGGACAAATTTGGTACGCGAATTAGCTGCGAATTTATCTTTATTACCAAGAGCGTCAAGTTGAACAATTGAACATGAAAATACGAAGGTTTCAGCTTCCCTTGTCGCAGCGATATAGATTAATTATGCTGAAGCATACAGCATATCATAAGTCTGACACACACGACACTGAACGTAACTTGTCGTCTTTCAGTTAGTCATATGCAGTGTTTCACCATTACAATATATTTATTATTCCATTGCGTATAAGTTTAGGTTGAATAAATATTTTACAGAAAGCACCAAAGCAACCTACCTTCAGTTTTATTAATAAGCACTGCACCATATTCATTAATTTTAGTTGATTGGTGTCTATTGGACGACTCTTCTCGATCCAAGGATTTCAATGAAGTAAAACGCCAACCTTTAGTATTTGGATACTGGTACTTGAATAAATATTTTGAATTAAAATAGCACTCGTTAGCTTGCAGCAGTGCGTCCGCGTTATTGATACTTTATGATTAATTTAATGAAAATTTTCCTTTTATATTATATGAGTTTCTAAATACCTACGAAAAGTAATTTGCCATCTTAGCTTAAAAAAAAATAAGTACGTTCGTTGCACGATACAGTCAAGAGCTCAAAATTGTTTTATCAAACGTTAAATATTATGGGAAAGGCGCTATCACCATGAATATAGATTTTACGACGAATAAAAAATTTCACCAATTTAACATCGCACCTTCCTCCACTTTCTAGAACATTCTTCTTTAATAATTATGCAAACAGCGATAAATTGATCAGTCAGTAATGGTGACTGAGTTGTCGGAAAAAGCCAATATTTAACTGTGCAAAGAACTCCTTTTCTAACCACGCGGTAATTTATGATAAATAAATATTTTACGTTGGTCTTTTCATAAACTCTCAAGGATTATTTCATTAATTTCTGTTGTTTGTATAACGTTACAAAATTACTTTCATAATATTTTTACATGACGTGGGAATAAAACGAGTTTTCTCACCGATTATTTTTATTCTTATACGGTCTTATACTCCAATTACTGCAGATGTCGTCATGTAGCATGTAAACGAAATCCTTTTGTTAAACATTTTTTTGTATTTCGTTTGATATAAATCAAGTCCTTGTCAATATGAACTTCTAACACGTAAATAAATATTTCATAATCGTCTATTAGTTAACATTATCAAGGTCCATCAAGAAATTCGTTCGTATAACAACAACACGTGGATCGCGAGGGTTACTTACAACCATGCTTCATTATCATATTAGCATATTAACGTGTCAATCTGTAGAAACCTTATTAGTTTGCGTCTGATTTACATTTCCCTGATCTGACCCCTATACACAGAAATACCAGTAAAAAAATTGTGCTGTTTGTTTCTTGGAATGGAATATGAATAAAATATACAGTAGCTACTATCGCGTGGAGCCAATGCCCTAGAGTGAATGGACTTGCAATCTTTAGCTAGCTGTAAGATAAATTCGAACGCGAAAAACTCACTCACTCACATCGGTTTCTCTCTTTTTTAAGAAGTAATGAATTTCATGCAGGTATTGCTCTGTCCATTCCGTGTTAAGGGATGGGACTTTTTATCTTAATCCAAATTTTGTTTTTTTAGCGTATTAGCACACATTGGCTAGGCGGTTGTATAGTGCGATCTAAAGTTAGCAGGGAATGGTGGAGTGGTGTCCTGCACGCGCCTTCATCACCCTACATATCTTTACTGCTCCGCGACTTACGCTAACCTCATCGACGCCGTAAAGTTTAAGGCTCACTATTCTGCTAGTAAAATATTAGAAATGTGCGTGGGTTCTAATTTCAATCAATTTCAAAATCTTTTTGCGCTTAAATGGGCGTGTAGCAGCGAGCGGCAGTGCGACTTACGTTAAGTTTGAGGCCCGCTATATCCGACAGTAAAATGGTAGTGACTTACATTGCGCCTTTCGCTAACCTCACAGGCGCCGTTAAGTTCGAGGCCCACTAGTAAAATATGAGACTAATGGTTTATATGAGTGCGAGTTCTAAATTCAAAACATCTTTTTAACGTAGGCACGTAAGGTGCTTACATTGGCATGGGTGCGGGCGTAAGGAAAGGATTGGTAGAATGGTATCCGGCGTAACTAGCGGCGCGGCCGGCTGCCCCAAGTGGAGGGGCGCGCGCCACGCGTCCGTAAGACATAAGGGTTTACATCTACGTGTGTTCTAAATTCAAAACATCTTTTTAACGTAGGCACGTAAGGTGCTTACATTGGCGTTAGTGCGGGCGTAAGGGAAAGGATTGGTAGAATGGTGTCCGGCGTAGCTAGCGGCGCGGCCGGCTGCACCGAGTGGAGGGGCGCGCGCCACGCGTCCGTAAGACAGAAGGGTTTACATGGACGTGTTCGAAATTCAAACATCTTTTTAACTTAGGCACGTAAGGGTCTTACATGGGCGTGGGTGCAGGCGTAAGGAAAGGATTGGTAGAATGGTGTCCGGCGTAGCTAGCGGCGCGTCCGGCTGCAGCGAGTGGAGGAGCGCGCGCCACGCGGCCCAGCCACGCGTCCGGATGCGGCAGCGCCGTGGCCGCGACTGGCGCGACGGGTGCTACTAGCGCCATCTGCGGCGACGTTTGCGAAGGTTCTTCGGCCTCGGCCAATGCGCGCAGGCCTAGCGACAGCTGCTGGCACATCGCGGCCACCGGGTCTTCTGATGCGCTCTGCACAAAACAACGACGTTTCAGAAAACGCTCTTACGATCACATGATAATCACAAAGTGAGTTATCGCAACGCTCAAGCAGAAATGGTACGAAATAAAGTCTTAGGCTAAGTTCAGAGTAAATCGTGCGTAATCGCGCATTTACGCGCCATCGTCAGTGTTTCGTCGCAGGTATCTTGATACGCACGAAAAAGCGCGCTTACGCGGTTATTAAGTTCCTATATTCAAGCATCTGTTCAAATGACCCGCGCGACTTGTTTCGTGCAAACGTATGAGGTAGCGATAAATAGATGAAGGTAGCCGTGTGTTATCGCTTGTCATCTGAACTCTTGACGCGCGATCACCCGCGATTTTCTGAACTTAGCCTTATCTGTTACGCACACGTTAAAGTTACGATTTACGGGCATTCACAGGTAGATTTAAGTAGAATATAGTCGCAACTAGCGATACGTCGTTATTACTACGTACCATAGCCACAGGGTCTTTTGATGCGCTTTAAATTGAAGGACAATATATTTCGTACAACGTTCTTGCAGATTATAACGATAACCAGCGACCTGCAGACATCGGTTATAATGGAGTGATACAGGTCACGGCAAACTTATTGAGCAAAACCACAGACAAATAAACTTGTGCAGGAGACGTTTGTATATGCAAAATTATTACTGCGCAGGCTTCCTTGAAGTATGAGGTAATCCGATAGACACCCAGAGTTATCGACATAGTCCACCGGATTATCAAGTTGAAGTGGCAGTGGGCTGGCCATATTTGCCGAAGAACCGATAACCGTTGAGGTAGACGAGTTCTGGAGTGGAGACCGCGTCTAGGCAAACGTAATGTAGGATGTCCTCAGGCATGATGGAGTGACGATTTGCGATTTGCGAGTAGCTCAAGATCGACCTGAGTGGCATGCAAGTGGAGAGGCCTATGTCCAGCAGTGGACTAGGATAGGTTGTTGATGAGGCTTCCTTGTCTATGGTCGTTGCTCGAGAAGTTTGCGGGGATGTTTTAATAGAGGTATAAGAACAGAGTGGGGAAGGCAGCTCTAAAAGTGTCCGTCTAGTAAAAACAGAGAAAGAAGATAGCTACATCTCTCTCTTGTGACGCATGGCATCCGATGGCATCTCATCGAAATAGTAAGATGCTAACGGATGCCAATGCGCATGCGCGATTAGAGAGAAAAACTAGGGGTCATCATCTTTCTCTTTCTATTAGAGGGACACTTTCACTTGTAGTTGTCTATATCTCCCCGAATCTATTCCTATACCTCTATGTACATAATTCGGTCTCACCCAGGGGCAGGGTATGCGTCACGCATTTTCCTAACAATAATAATAAAAATAAAATATGTGTGGCACACGGGGACTGCCGCGGTAAAGCAATTGCATAGCATTGTTTAGCAACTTATGCAATTATAATTATTTATTTATTTTATTTATGCAGTATTTTTTCCTTTGATAATAATTCAAGTTTTTTCTTTGATATTAATAGATGGCGAGGCAGGCGTTATGATATTTGATTGGGCAAGCACAGCAAACAACAACATTGCCCGGCGCCAAAAAACTTCCACAAGCTCCACAGTTTACCATTCTTAGTCCAAAAATTTAAATTATAATTATAAAGTCTAAATAAAAGGGAGACAAATTAAAATAACAGGTGCTGGGGTCTAAAACAAATATATAAAAAAGGAAAAAAAATATAATAAAAATACGAGTGCGGGATTTGAACCGGCGACCGCGGTGACGCTTCGAATGTTGGTCCCGTGGCAAGAATTTAACATACTGTACCGTTTCGATCGATACTGGAAAGGCGAAAATTGTATTCATATGCACTGTTGTCAGGTTATTTTCGTTACGGAATTTCTGAATTTAGTCGCCGCGCTCAAAGCCCGCGATAAAATCTATGCAATAGCTTAAAAAGGCTTCCTTGTCTATGGTCGTTAGTAAAGAAGTTTCGCGGGGATGTTTACCTCTGTGGAGAGGTCGGGCCTGTGGGAGGGCGCGGGCGCTGGAGCGGGCGCAGGCGCGGGGGCGGGCAGCGCGCGCGGCGGGGAGCCCAGCCCTGCGCGCTGCCGCTCCAGGTTGGACGGCAGCTCGCTGATGCGCAGCGACATCTGACGCTTGAACGGAGAACTGAGGACAAAACACCACCATACGTTGTCAATGAGGGCTATCGTGTATGAATCAACCGCTAGAGGACATATTATAAAATTATAAGTAATTTATAACAAACAATATAATGTATTTTATAAACTTAAAAAGACCTATTACTTACGTTTCTAATTAATTTTACGTACCTACCTGATCCTAATCCTTCCAAATTCCGTTTCACAACCTTTTTATTTCATTATTTTGGTTTCCTTACCTTTTACCCTGTCGTGGCCAATGCACAAACCGTGCGAGCCATTATAATAATTAAAAAAAAATCCAAAGGGGTCTTTTTGGCGGGATCGGGAAGCGTCACTTTAGCAGTTTTGTTTTTCTTGTTAAAAATTGTGTTTGGCGGATGTTAGTGTCTAATAATGGTGGATTATTAACCACTAAGTGTTCGGAAACATGCACAAGTGTTGGCAAGTGAAACAAAATAGCGGAAAGTGTCTTTCGACGTTCCCTCAACAAGTCCACGGGGAGGTTCCAGTAAATCCCCACACATTTACTGAAACATAGGGAAAGGGGGATTGACTTGACTGCCACTTACTTTGACTTGACTAATATTTGACCACGAGTGCTATAGGATATGTAAACATTTTACACTTGACATTGGCTAAATGCACAAACTGTGCGAAGCCATATAGAAAAAAAAACCCCTAGAGACGAAATGAAATGAAATGGGGAGGTCCACATCAAAACGTTACATTTACATCTTAAATTAGTTTACACAATTTGAGAAAAACTAATAAGCCATCAATGCTTAAAGCAATCTCTTTACTCACTATGGGGAAAAAACTTATTATAAATAGATTAATTTGGGTCAATCATCATGTGAATATATATAATTCTCATGAGTATAAACTCATGAGAATTATTTATAAAAAAATGTTACGTTTTGGTGCCACTAATTTATTAGTTTTGGTGAGATCATTGTAAAAATGTTACTTTTTTTATTGTGATCTACTAACAAATGTCACTTTTTGGTATGAATAAAAAAAGACATTGTAATTAATGTATTATATTATAAAAAGAGAAATATACATATTATGCTTATTTATTTTATTATAAAAACCCAAATTCAGAGGGGACAATCTTCTATATCGCATAAAGGACAATGTTTAAATTGGCCTAAGAACCAACACCAATTTGGCATTTATGATAATTCTTAGTATATTTTTTGCGATAATTGTCATTATTTAGATTGTGACGGACACTTCCAGTTAAGTAAGCTACATTAAAAAGTTAAAAAAATAATTTGAGACAATAAATACCATTTTATGTGTTTAATCTATGACAGCGCTGCAAAAAAAAAACACTCTTTCTTCCTAAAGCCAGCATTTCACTTGGCTATTTGAATTTGCTATTTTAAAACATGACATCAGTCTGTCCTTTTCATTCCTTATTAAGCAAGGACAACAAGTGCAGGCAGTTTGCATTCGTAGTAATCTGTAGCATTCGTGCATTCCAAAGAGTAGTCTAATATACCGGAAAGTGAATTCTAGTTTTGGATTACCTGTTGTGTGTGTTTATTTGTGATGGTTTTTACTTTTAATTTAACTATTTCGGCTATCTAATATGCCATCGATGTTACCAAAAAGCAGAGCCCTTCTTACCAAGTGCTAGTGAACCTGTGCTACAACATCCTGGGAGGATCATACTGCCAAATTATTCAAGAACACCTTATACCCATTCACGCTGCATATTTACACAATATACATGTGATATACAAATTGTTGAGTTTCCTCTACACCTTTCGAGATGATGATGTTAAATGATAGTTTGGTGATAAATTGATAACACCGATTATGTTGAAACTGTTATGTTTATTAGCACACGCGGTACATATGACGTCCGAACGTGAACTGATTTGCTTACGCTAATACAATTACATATTTACTTAATAATACATAAAATTATAAATTGCCACGTAAGGAAATGTTTTGTTTGGACTAAACATCTTCCCGGGGGGCAAAAGAAAAGAAAAATTAATGATGAATCTAACAAAATCTATAAAAAATAATTAAGTATCTTCATTTAATTGGAGTAACATCTTGCGCGGGGCCACCGGTGACGAAGCTTTGTTCCGGGACCTCGGGCTTGGATTCGCGCGCGCTCCCTCTGGCTGCTAGTGCGGGGCAGGCGGGCAGTGGAGCTGGGAACTGACTGCGGTGCTCGCTGCTTCTATCTCCCCTGGTGTTCTTCTGGATCTATCAACACATATGATACTGATGTTTCTGTTGCGACAGAATCGCGTCCAGCAGCAAAAGATGGCGATTGTTAGTGATATACCCACAAGCACATATATCACTGCATAGTGATATTATTTATAGGTGCTATTTCTGGTGTACGAGTATATAGGTTCAGCATGGTTTTCATCTCACTGGTGAACTCCTTATTTGTAAATATGTACATTTCTTCGCTTTTAATCGCACAACCTTGCTCTAATGCGATGACGCCGACCCCGCTCAGCTGTTGTGCGGTAATTTGATCATTGCATAGTAGTTTCACAGTGCATAACATCGCAACAAAAATATAAATAATCGTTCATAACATTTAATACGACGAACTTGTTTTTGCATTCGGCGATGCTTGTTTGGCATTGATTGTGTTTATTCTTCAAACACAAGTCTCTGTCTGACTTTCTTTGGTAAATGGATGTTTGGATTGGCATAGTTGCGTAGATGTTTCATAGTACATACAGTTATGTTAGTCTACAGCTGTAAAGTCGTTGATGCTGGCAATCTCCTGGATCTTCTGATTTAATTCACGAACGTTGTTATTTTGTATGAGTTGTATTTTAGAAATCGGGTCGAAATAATTATAAAGATTGACTGTTTTGCAGAGACCTTGTATCGTACGCGCCATATGATGGTAATATGAGACCCATGAAAAATATAAGTGCCGTTGTTAGTGATAAGAATGATTGCTTCGTATGTTTTGTTTTTTCTTTCTGTTTAGATTCTGGTTCCGGTGATTTTTGCATGGGTAATACTGATAGTTTAACAGGTCTTTTTAATAATCCATTTTTTGTTTTTAATGTGACGACGCGTACGTAGCCATCCTTGCCCGGGTGTAAGTCCGTTACCCGGCCCATCAGCCATTTCCCGGCTGGTAGATTGTCGTCATGGATTGTAACCAAATTTCCCAGTTCAATGTTTGGCTTCGATTCTCTCCATTTGTTTCTGATTGTAAGTTGAGTTAGATATTCGAACTTCCATCTCTTCCACATATCTTGCATTAATTTTTCGATTAACTGCCACCGTTTTCTTGCGTCATGTTCAGATTCTAAAATAGTTACATCAGCTGTTCCCGTTAAAAAATGTGAAGGAGTTAAAAAGTTCAGATCGTGAATGTCTTCTGATAAGGCACATAGTGGTCTTGAGTTAAGGCAGGCTTCGAGTTGCGCCAATATGGTGGAGTATTCTTCGAAGGTTAACTTCTGCTCGCCTATCACTCTCTTGATGTGATACTTCAGACTCTTTACCGCGGCTTCCCAGAGTCCTCCTGCCGACGGCCATGATGGTGCATTAAAGTGAAACTCGATGCCCATATTTGTAACTTCTGCCATGTAATCCTGATCTGAAGAGTACTCTTGAAGTCGAGTGTTCATTTCTTGTTGTAACATTCGATTAGCGCCCACGAAATTCGTACCGTTGTCGCAATATAAATGCCGCGGAGCGCCTCTACGAGCGGCCATACGATGCAAGGCTGCTAAAAATGCTGATGCAGAGAGGTCGGACACGAGTTCGAGGTGCACGGCCTTAGTTCTTGATTTGCCGATAAGCTGTTGATACCCAGGCTTGAGAGGCAGTCTGACCTCATATCTACCGTCCTGGTGTCTTTTTGTTGTTGTTTGGTAATAATCAATGCAGTACTTATCCTCTGATGATAAATTTGACTCTTCTGTTATATCTTCCGTTTCCCAAAATCGTTCTAAATTCTGTATGTTATTAAGGACCACATTGCAATGATAAGTTTTTGTACAACCAGTCAGTATCAATCCGAGACGTGTATTTTGTGCTATCGGCTGTGAAGTTGATGGATCTTCGTTTCTACATATCCCAGTCAGGATAATATTGGAATAAGTTTCTGCTCCCAGTAGAATGTCAATTGGTCGACTTATATTGAAGTCGGGATCGGCCAGCTGTATGTTGTTCAAAAATGGCCACGACATTTTTGAGAATGACTGATTTGGTAACTGTTTGATCAAAGTCTGCATCACAAAAGCTTGAGTATCAAAAGAGTAGCTCTCATCCATTGATGAGCATGAGAGATTGACAACACCCTTACAGCTATTAGGTTTTACACCTATTCCAAAAATGCTACCCTTGCAATTCTGTCTCGGCAATGATAAACGTTGAGCGGCATTTTCTGAAATAATCGACACTTGCGAGCCTTGGTCGATAAGGGCCCGCATTGATTTGAGAGACCCATCTGCGGCCCGCACCTTGAGCATCGCTGTTGCTAATAATATCTCGGATGAGTTATCGTTTTGTTGAGTAACATTAGAGTTACTACTGGTACGCTGTTCTAGCCCTGTTGACGTGCTAGGTTTCGTCGTCACAGATTGCTTGACTGTTTGAGATGCAAATGCTTCATGTAGCATGGTGTTATGTTTACCATTGCAATCTCGACATCTTCTTTCGGAAAGACATGATTTTCCGTTGTGACTGAACAAGCAATTCTGACATACATTTAATTTTGTCACGGTCTTTCGTCTTGCCTGTGGAGACATGTCTATAAATTCTTGACAATAAAATAATCCGTGGTCATCGTTGCAGTGTGGGCACTTGTACTTTGTGTTTGAAGAAGTAAATATCTTGTTACTTAGCGGTTGCGAAACCGGGGCGGCTTGATTGCTGACATAGGAATGTTTATTGTAATTTGATTTAGCGAAAGACTTTGTGTTGTAATTATTCGAATTGCTTGATTTTTGTGGAATATAATTTTCTTGTTTTTTCCTGGCAGATTCCATTGACATAAATGTTTGTTCTAGAAAATCAAAAAACTCTTGCAATTTCGGCAATTCTCGAGAGTTCTTTAAGGACTGGATATAGCCTTGATGAGTTTCGTTGTCCAATTTTTGGCTTAAAATGTGCACTACTACGGGGTCCCATGTGGTAATATCGACCCCTAAGTTTTTTATTGCATTCAGGCTCTCCAAGGTAGTGTCATGTATCTTCTTAATATGGTTAACTGATGCTTGATTTGAAGCAGGCAGGTTCATAATATTATTCATGTGTGACGTAAATATTAATTTGGGATTATTGTATCTGTTGTTAAGTAAGTCCCAGCACGTGACGTAGTTATCTGAACTTATTTGCAGATGCTGGATAATCCGCTCGGCTTCACCCCTCACCTTACTTTTTAGAAATTGCATTTTTTGTGCACTGGACAGCGATCGGTTATTGTGTATAGATTCTGTAAAAAGATCTTTAAATGGTATCCACTGATGGTAATTTCCGCTGAATATGGGTATTTCGAGCTTCGGTGTAGATTCTTTTTGGTGAGCTGTTGACCATATTTTTTTGTTTATGGATTTCTTAAATTCGTTGAAGATACGTTCGTTTTTGGAATACTCTTGTTCATATGCTTGATTCTGGCCTTCCAGTTCACTGTCCAGTTCCCAGTGCAGCGCGTCGATAGCGTTCCATCTGGTATTCAATGTGTTCAAAGTGTCTTGCAATTCCCAGTTTTCATGTAATAAATCGAGGTTAATGGTTGATATACTTCGCTTAAAGGCTCTGAAGTGGCTGATTTGTTTGCGCAGCATCTCGTCGAGCTTGCTGTTGGTACCCCGATCTTCCTGCATGGGTTTTGTTTGTTGATAAGGTGATGGGTTGAATGTTGTTGGTTTCAGCACCGATGTCGATGGCTGTGACTTCTCATCGATAGGTCGATCTATTTGCATGGGTTTTGTTTGTTGATAAGGTGATGGGTTGAATGTTGTAGATTTCAGCACCGGTGTCGATGGCCGTGACTTCTCTTCGATAGGTACATAGCTTTGAATAAATGCTTTCGTGTTTGTGTAAAAGTCCTGTACTTGATCATATTTATTTTGCGCAATATATGGGTGTGTTTCGTCACATATATCTCGAACCTTAATATGATTGCTATGGAATTCATACCAATAAGCTTCCAATGTTTCAAGTCGCTTCTTGATGTATACGGCAGTTTTTCGTTCCGCACCATCTTTTTTGAAGTTGGTCAGTAGCTGCTGCATACCGCCTATTATTTGTTCTTGAGTTGCTAAGATATCCTCCATTGTTGACAAGTTTTGAGTACTCCCTGTTAATTATTCTGTTGTTGCTGATTCCGATCCTTGTGACGGTTCACACAGTGCTATGTGCGCCTTCTCAATCCAACTGGTGAGACCCGCTTGTGGGAGGCCAGTCAAACCGATTCGCTAACACCGTAAGAACACTATCACAATTCACTAGTCGAAGGACCATAAAGATGTTGAGTTTCCTCTACACCTTTCGAGATGATGATGTTAAATGATAGTTTGGTGATAAATTGATAACACCGATTATGTTGAAACTGTTATGTTTATTAGCACACGCGGTACATATGACGTCCGAACGTGAACTGATTTGCTTACGCTAATACAATTACATATTTACTTAATAATACATAAAATTATAAATTGCCACGTAAGAAAATGTTTTGTTTGGACTAAACACAAATAAATACAAAACAATATGATAAAATTACTTATAGTCAAAAAACAAGAAGCAAAACTACAGTTTTTATTTTATTCATGATTCCTACCTAACCAAGCTTTTCCTAATAGTTATTCTTTAAAATCGCACCGAATAAAATGAATTAGTTGTAATATTAATTCACTTCATACAGAGTTCATACTAAGTTCATAGGTTGACCTATGTTTCATTGAATATTAACATAACCTCAAAAAAATTTTAGTTTTCCTAATAATTTAAGTTCTCAGAAGTGTCCGTCAATAATCTTTGTTTTTACAGTCATTTACTTACGATTTCGAACCTAGAAAATAATATTTCATGATTGTTGGTTCTTAGGCTAACTATGTATGGACGCTGAACAACGTCAATTGTTACGTTTTGGTTCAACTTGTTGATTTCATAATGCTATAGTACGAAATTGAACGCGTTTTGTTGCAACTTCAATAGTTTTCGATAGAATTTAGGAATTCGAACCGATCTGCATTCTAACTTATTTTCTGAACTACATGTCAAATGTTACGTTTTGATGTGGACCGCCACAAATGTTATTGCTTATAGGTTGACTACGCGGGTTTATTTCTAATTAAAATAATGATGTGAATATTTAGTAATAACTCGACTTAATTATGGCAAATATGAGTTACATAGCAATGAAAGACAGTTATTTAAAAGCGGAGCTAAGAAAAAATATTATATCCTACTTTTTTTTCGAACAAAACGGAACTGCGCAACACTTCGGCATGGCTGATTATGTTGAGGATACGCATATTTTGTATTAAAATATGATTTAAATGTAAACTTTGATTTCACGCGCGTATTAGTAAAATTTAAAAGTTACAATTTTGGACCTCACTCAACAGTGGAGCCATCTGGTAAGACAGAAAACGGTAGCCCTCATAGTTTTACAGCATGGAGGTTAGAGAGAAGGAGAACGATCGCTACGTACTAAAGCATTAGCCCGCCTGTCCCTGAAAATTTGTAGAATTTACAGTTCATTTTTCAGCCACCAGCCGCGCTGCCGTCAGTAAGTAGTATCTGTGAAGTTAGTTGTTGTGTTATGAGTACAAGTAGATGAAGTTAGTTGAATAATGTACAATTTTTCTCCACGGCGGTCATTTCAAATTAGCGCACAACAGCCCGCTTTTATTGAGACATCTTATCAATCGCAGCGCCTCACTTATTTTGTCCATATTTCTGGGACACTATTTTTTACAGCGATCGTTCTCCTTCTCTCTAACCTCCATGGTTAACAGCTTGAACAGCGAAAAAAAATGATTTCACTACACAATACACGAAAAAATCCAGCCTTCTAGTCCGATTATATTTTTCTAATCAAAATTCTTCAAGCTGTGGAGACAAAACGTCTCCACAATTTTAAACTAAAAAAAAACAACAAAATGTTATACAGTTCCTAGTGTAAATACACATTCGATGATACTTTTCACTAAAATAATGCCTGTTATAGTTTGGAGTCCAGTTTGTTTTCCAGTTTATTCGTTACGTCCTTCATAATCTACACATGCTTATATAGATTTAATGCGTCTTACCTGTTGTTGAGGTGCGCGAACCCCCTGAACGAGCCCTGCCGCTCGAGTAGATGCGGCGCGGCGTGCGGCCGCTCCACCGCGAAGGGGTTGTGTGGCGTGGGCCGCGGCGCCAAAACCGCCGGCACAGCCGACACCGCCGGAACTGACGGAACCGCCGGCACCGAGGGAGCGGGCGACGCGTCCGCCTCTGACGCGCGACGACCGATACCTACGCCGTTAATTTTCTTGTTAAAACTCCCAAGAGAAAGGCAAACAGACACAGAGACGCAGTGAAACCTGCCCAGTAGAAATTTTAGAAACAAAAACGCCACTACGCAAATTTATTGCGCGGTTTCGGCATCGCTGGTAGCGCAGGCGCCGATACAAACTTAAATTCAAGAAGGCAAAGAAGCAAGAAGACAGTGACACAACGTAACTTGCCCAGTAGCAATTTTATACCGGCATTTCACTTTGCTACTAGTGTTTGCTATTCGTAAACTAGACATCAGTTTGTTCTTTTCATTCCTTATAAAGCATGATAAGGACAGACTGTTGTCATGTTTACAAATAGTAAATAGCCAAGTGAAGTGCTGGCATTAGATACAAAAATGTCTACTGCGCAAAACAGTTTCATGGCGCCGGCACCGCCGATATTGCCGACACCGGCGCAACTGCAGGCGCGGACGCGCAACGGCAACAACAGCAGACCTTTTTTTTGTCGATGGGAATTTACATACAATTGCATTTACGCACCATACCGCGCGCTGGCTGGGCGCGCGGCGTATGTGGGACTCCCCGGCGCGGAACAACGCCGGTCCTACCCACTAAAGCCCACCGGTACCCTCCTACGCCCATTTGGGAGCGTTTCAGGATCGGCGCACCTGTGTGCGCCACTTCACTGGAACGCTCCCGGGCCGGTACGGTCCGGTCCAACGAGTGGACCGGGCGACACGAATCTGGGGGATTGCGCTAGGGTACTAGGCAATCCCCAGACGGGGTGGCCTAAGGGTATACCTACGCAATTTGTCGCCGTTAATTTTTTTGTTAAAACTCTCATAAGAAAGGCAGAGGAATGCGTAAAGCTTAACAAAATTTAGCTCCTTTGTTATAGTGTATTCAAATTTTGTGCACTAAATAAAAAACAGTCACAGTACAGACAGTTTTATAATTCTAAAGAAAACGTTAATAGAAAAAAATCCACTCTGTCGAGGCATCAGACGGGATTCAAACCAGCATTGTCAGCTATTCGCGGATTGGTTATTGCGTCCACCCGGGATTTTTTTTCTTAGATATGTATATAAATCTAACAGTTAAATGCTTAAAATTAAAATAAAAACAAAATTCTTTACACACGTGTAAAGAGAACGCATTTGGCTTGGCCTTTGCATTTGGCTAAATTTAGTACACTAAATCATAATCAAAATCATTTATTCAGTTTAGGCTGTTAAAAAATCATGAATGCCTAGAAGCTACACCATCGGTTCGTAAATCTACGGCGGGAGACCTTGTACTGAAAAGAACCGACAAGAAACTCAGCAAGGGCAGTTTAAAAATGAAAAGTACTCTAAATTTAGACAAGTGTTAAGAGACCGCTCTCATTCGCCTTTGATCGCTGTGATACTTTAAGTCCCGTTTGCATTTTGTGTAAATTTAGTACACTCAGTGAAAAGTACATACTCTAAATTTAGATGTTAAAGGAACGCTCTCATTCGCCTTTGCTCGCTGCTTGAATTTAGTGCCCTAAATTTAGCCAGATGTGAGCCATTGTTTCCACTACAGTTCGTTTGGGACATATTTTTAGCTGTGGAGAAAAATGGGTTCTAAATATTTAGATCTAGCTGACCTGGCGAACATCGTAGCGCCTATAAAGTACCAGAAATGTATCACATTAAGTTGTTAATGAAAAAATCTCCCGTTTATAATAGAATATATGTATGAGCCTCGCAGTTACTTAAAAAGAAAAACATTGGTTTTAAACCAAGATTAACTTTGGTTCGCGTTTTGGAATTGGGGGATTAAGGTTCTTATAGTCTTTCGAACCAAACATTTCTCGGCAAGTTTCAGCGATTTAGACGTGAAGAAGTAAAAAACATAAACACTCACACACACACACACAAACTTTCGCCTTTATAATATTAGTGTGATGAACACAAGAAAAACAAAAAAAAACATAATAACACAAACATTAGATTTATTAGTAAGTTATACTACATTAAACAAAACTGCATTGCATCAGACGCTAAGAACGTGCGTATTCACACACACCTTCGAAATCAGTATCGATTGCGTTGTCCTCCTCATCAGTCAGTGCGCAATCTACACAATTACAAGGGCCTCTTCATTATTTAGCACTTCAAACAATTGAAAGCACTTAATCTATCGTTTATGATGTGAAGGTGATGATATTTTTTTTTAAGAAAAATAAAAGATAATATACACGCATACAGCCCGCCTGATGGTAAGCGCCCATATTCTAGCCAATAGCTATAGAATTGTTACCATTTTTTTTTCTAACAAATATAGTATTTTCGAAGCGGTTACCTCTAAAAATATAGTTGATTGCAAAAACTAAAAAAAAATATAGTACTTATATCGTTAAAATATTGACTTTATTTTTGAAATGAACCTATTTTGCTGCTCTGTGCCTAATTAATATATTTTTTAAGAAAGTTTTAGCGAAAAGCGAGTAGTTTCGACTACTATATATTTTTTTAGAAATGTAGTATTTGAGCCCCTTATATAGTAGGATACTATATTATATAGTAGGGTTGGCAACCCTACTTACAATACCGGCGAATATCACTCGCGCGTTGTCTAGGACAGGACAGGGTCCTCAACCCCGTGGGGCCCTAGAACTGAATATGCCCTCTGAAATCCTGTCTTTAAATTAGCAGTACTTGAGAAGAGCAATTAAATTGTAAGTATACTTATTTAAAAGTTTTAAATCTTATGTACTGAATTAGCAAATAAGCGTTTGAATCACCTACTTATAACAAATATTTTGCATACAATGTCATAATAATAATGCATAGTCAGTTATTAGGTATTTATGTATAATAGAACTATATGTATACGTTCATGCACGTCATAATATTGATAAGTCTGTTGTCAGTCATGTTGAATCGAGAACATTTCATTCAACGCAGTATCATTATCCAATCGCTTTAAAATACCTAAGATAGCTATCACGATTACAAGACTATCTACCGACAACAGTCGAAATGACGTCATACGTCTATGGTTAGCCATGTGTAAATTAAAGCAAGTCATGTCGATATCATTTCTGCGATAACAGTGGTTAACTTTCAAAAATATTAACTTATTTTTGCACGTGCTTGTACATTTTACAGAATTAAGAATGTGGGAATTATTTCGTACTAAGTGAATTCTAGTATACAATAGGATTTACCTTTTCCCATAACATGATGAACGACTTACAGAATGAAACAAAAGAAATGAACCGACTTTCAAAAAAAACCAATATGTCATACGAATCAATTAAAATAACGATAGGTAGGCAAATAATTTGTCTTGAATATTTTATCGATTATATCGGATGATTCATACAATTAGTCAATCGTAAAATATTTAAGTAAAGAGCATACATTAACTGTACTAATTCGCTATGTATACAATACACAAAATGATTTTGAGTCGTTGTGCAACGACAATGAAAAAAGTCTTTTTCTATTGGTTGGACATACATCTATTAAAATGCGTAGTGTTTTTATAGAGTAACCTTTAACGCAACTCATGAACTCGCCAAATTATAGTGTATTAATTGAATTCTCGGCCGGTTCAAATTGCTTAATAAGAGTAGTAGTTGTTATTAAATAAGGAAATTTTGACAGGAATTCCTACAGCATACGCTAGACAGAGCGTAAAACATGGACATGTTTGTACAACTAGCGCTAATAAAGAAACTAATCGAAAATGAAAACGATATTCTGTCCCTGTCGAGCTGAACGCGCTATCTATCTGTGCCATCGAGCATGTTATGTGTGTTGTTATTAATATAATGTAGTGAGTACTCACCCGACTTGCGGAACGAGCCCTGCCTAGTGAAGGCGTGGCTGGCGGCGTCGATGCTCATGGAGACGGCGCACTCCTTGTCGCGGCGCTGTTTGCGCTCCAGGCACGCAGCGAACGCGCAACCCACCGCGTGGGACAGCCGCTCGCCGCTGTCGCGCGACGCCAGGAACCCGTGGCACATCCAGCGCCGCGTAGTGCCGTCGCGACAGATGTAGCTGGATACGAACAACGCACAGCTCGACTCATTTGTTTTTTTTTAAAGTCTGCATCTCGAGTCATTCTTTTTTCGGTATAGTGCAGTCATAGTGACTTAGTCGGTCGTCGCATTGTCGCGGCAAATGTAGCTGGATGCGAAGAACGCAAGAGTCGAGTCATTTGTTTCTTTACGCAGTACTAAGAGAATAGGCTAAGCGTCACAGCCAACCGCCTGCCGCTGTCTTGCGACGCCAGAAACCCATGGCACATAAAGCGCCGCGTGGTGCCGTCGCGACAGATGTAACTGGATACAAACAACGCACAGTTAGACTGGGCGCACATGTACGGTTTCCGCGATCAGGAATTCAGAACCGAAATTCCGTGAGCCTAGCGCAGACGTTTCGGTTTTTTTATTAGTTAGAGCCGAACCGAACGTTAGGTTTTCTCCATTATGGAAAAATAAGACTATTGTTTTTCCATAATGGAATTTATTGCCTGATCAGATTTCCCAATCCGAATTCCTGCCAGCCTTAGTGTTTTTTTTCACGACTGCATCTCGAGCAAATCTCGAGTAATTTCTTTTTTTTTCGGTATAGTGCATAGACATAGAGAGTGCAATAAACGTTACAGCCGCTTGCCACTGTCGCGTGACGTCTGGTACCGATGGATGGCACATCAAGATGTAGCTGGATACGGATAACGCATGACTCGAATCATTTGATCTTATATCACTTCATTCAGTTCGGTATAGTGCATAGAGATTGGATTGAACGTTACAGCCCCTCGCCACTGTCAGACAACGCCAGGGGGCCATTCGCCTAATGGTATTGCTATGGCTATCGCTTACGATAGAAGGTTTTAAAATACCTCGCGCTCGTTTTTCTTTTTTGCATTGGTAATAACAATATTAAATAAAATGAGCGTGAGGTATGTCGATACCCTCGGCGGTCAGAAAAAGGAAATGAAATCGTAAGCGATAGCGATGGCTATAGTTATCCTATTAGGCAATTGACCGCCAAGACCGGTGCGTGGTGCCGTCGCGACAGATGTAGCTGGATACGAACAACGCACAGCTCGAGTCTTTTTTTTTTACGTCAGCATCTCGAGACTTTCTTCTTTCGGTATAGTGCATAGACATAGTGACTTAGTCGGTCGTCGCTAGCTTCATCGTCGCGGCAGATCTAGCTAGTTGCGAAGAACGCAATACTCGAGTCATTTGTTTCTTTACACAGTACTAAGAGAATAGGCTAAACGTCACAGCCGCTTGCCGCTGTCTTGCGAGGCAAGGAACTGGCAGTCATATTAAAAATAAACATAATTATTTAAACTTTGGAATGTGAGAATCTTTTATCTTACATAGATATTTCCAGATTGAATTCAGGCACAGACACGATAGGTTGACTATAATTAATTGTAATTTTTATTACTGAGTTCAAATAAATATAATTAATATTCCAAGTGCTATCATTTCTACATATATCTCTCTTTCTTTTAGTTATGTACCCCAGGTTCTCCCATCAGGAGAACTCACAGTACCGTCGAGGCAGATGTAACTAGATCTAGGCACGTACGACTCATTTGTTTTTTTTTACGTATTTCAGTTCGGCAATAGAACGCCAAGCATAAGAACGGGATATGATTCGTCATGCGGAGTCACTACGAATTGGTGGATGATACAGACTGCAAATATCCGTGACAAACGGTAAAACGTGCCTTTCGAAGCACGAAGAAGCTAAGATTATATAGCTACGTATTTTGCGAAATTCATTTTGATGTATATGGTTGAGTAGAGCCAAAGACGTTGAATAATTATGTACTGGGCAATAGGTACATGCACAAATTGACTACCAGAAAAAGAAAACGATCCTGCAGCTACTTTTATGCGAACTGCTGGCTGCACGATCGTTATATCTATTACATTTTTCTGTCTGTATTTTTACCTTACAGCTACATAGAAAACGCTTAATCCATTCTCTATATATCTATTATGAGCAGAGCCACAAAGCAGCCTTTACCACATCGTATTGACTTTTACCGTTAGATGGCGCCGGTGGTGCGTAACACTCTGTTCAGTTTTAGCTAAAAATTAAAACCTACGAAGATTAACTTTGCTTTTTATTAATGATTCTAATATAATGAGAATCAAGCAGGTCAATTTTCTTAATTTTCTAGTAAAAAATACAACATAACTAATTTACAAGACCCAACATACCTGAATCCTCTCTCATGATTTCTGTCTGGAGCACAGAAGGAAACCTTCTCGATAGTTTGATCGACGATCAGTCCTTTAGTCTCTTCTTCCACGACTCTTAAACCGTCGCCGCTGACGTGAAGCACTGCTCTGACGGGGCGACGACGCGAATTCTGGAAGGAGAGACACCAAAACTTTTAATAAAAGTTGATTCTGCGTATTACTAACCGTTCACCAGCGGAACATTATTTTATTTATATTATGTTTAGTTAAGCCCGCAGAATAGTTGTTTCCTACGCTAGATCAAAAGCGACTTTACTTATGGTGAAGTATGTGCGTTGTACATGAGCGCTGCGGTCTTAGGGGGCACCGAGTGCTACTAATCTGTAGCACTCGGCGCCAGTCCATTCTGGCAGAGTGCTTAAAGGGGGAGCTATTGTAGTTATTGCCCACAAACGCTTTATGGGCTAAAAACGCTTTTACGTTAGATCGGGTCAATACCCAAATCCTGTTCAGTTGCTATGTTGATTCGAATCATTTATAGTGCGACAAGGATCTTTATGAATGTGAGTGACAGTTCAGGGAGGGCGCTGCTGTATATGTCAATGACCGTAAATGACATACAAAATATGACGTTTACATAGATGGCGGCGTTAGTTCCAATTTTCATAAACATAAAGATGAAGACTTTAAGGATCGTGAAGTCACCAGTAATGCACTCACCCTAAGTACTTTGAGGGCCTCCTCGCACACTTGCATGCCCCTCGACTCGAACACCTCGACGCAGCCGAGATACTTGACCGGGAAGGTGCAGGTGCCGGCGCGCACGGCCGCCTCGTCCGCGTGCCATTGATGCGGACGCGCGGACTCCGGCGGTGAGCCCTTGCGGCGGCGAAACGACTCGCGGAACGACCGCCGCAGCCGCTCCATGCCGGCACGCGGCGGCGACAAGGCGCCGCCTGCGCGCGCCCGCCGGAATGAGCTCCGGACCGATGACTTCTGTAATAGATAATAATTGAAAGATTTTTTACCATGCTAACTAGCTTTTTTATGTCTGGGAAAGGCGCGAGGGTTATTGGGAGTTGCAACAAAGGTGGGACTGTGGGAACTCCTCCACGCTTATTGTTCCAGCTCTAGGCCTAAACCAGAGACTCCTGCAGCGGTTACCTGCCACGCACTATCGAGAGTATTCAATATCGTTGACCGAGGTCTCAGAATGGTTGTCAAGAGTGCGGGTGCGGACGTGGCGACCTAACGGTCGGTCGGATTAGCCACGCACTGCTTTAGCTAGGGGGCTTAAAGAGTTTTCCATCACTTGTACATAGAAAAAGTCCAGCACTTTTAACGGTTTGACAAGCTTATAAATGCACCATAACATTTTGTCATGTGTTACTTGAACCTATCTGCTGAAGTGCTGGTCTGGGGAAGAAACTTCTACCTTACCGAAGACCGTTTGGTGATATGGTATTTCAGTCCAAGTGCACTAATTTTATATAAATTTAGTACTACGCTGTCACTAATCATGTGTGTACTTTTGATGGTGCAAAGATAGGATGATCAGATCATAATGAATGGAATTGGCGTACGTGATGTTATGATGTGTTCGTAATTATTATTTGATAAATAATATTACACATGATGTACCTAATTTCCGTCATAGCCCATAACACAATATATGTCACGAACTTACATTTAACATAAACTATAAAGAAACCTCACAATACATTTAATTATGAAGGTATTAAAATATTATCTCAAAATTGCTATTCATAATACATATTATCATAAATACCTATAAGTAACTTGATTAGTAGTTTTTATTCCTAAATGGGTTGTAAAGCGGGTTTGTTTTTACTATAGAGGGTTATATTATGATTAAACGTGTCAAATAAGTACAACTACCTAGATTCGTAAATAAAAACTGTAGTACATATTTATCAAAACAATTTTAATATGGCTAAAATGAAAATAGTCCAGTTCACCCTGCATACAGACCACACGTGAACATAAAAAATAAACTATTTCTAGACTATCTGGGAGACCCAATCACACGACCTTTACTCATCGCTGGTCTACTTCCATTGGTTTTTTAGGAACATGACTATTAAAACCACAAATTTCCGTCAAGTACATTTGAAATTAATTGTTATAATTAAATTAAGGCATTTGTTGTCCGGCTAGTTACCTTGGGGTATAACAATATTTATGCTCGAGTTGCTAAGAGGAAAACCTTCATTATGTCTTTTTACTCTTATTGGCGATAAAACATGGTATCCGTCCGACTGTTGGTAGAACAAATTAAATATTTATTAAGACTTGCAAGGCATCGGACTGCAGCAGTGATAATCTGATAATAAAGATAAGATAATGCTATTGGCTTATAACACGGCAGCGCGTTCGCATAGTTGTCGAGCATGTTTAGGATTGCCAAGCATTAAATATCAAATTATCGCGGAATCACTTTTGCCCTGACCGGCATTTATATATCTTAAGTATGCTACGGCTTTATCCGAATGCCTGGCAACCAACCTTATGCCCATGTGTGACGACGTATACTAAAGGTACTCCCACACTGCATTAGAGACTATTAGTACCATTAAATATATTTGTTTCTTAGGTTTTCACGCACATCACTCATTAAATAAAACTAGTTTTAACGGGTTAATGCACGAAACTTTATTTATTTATTGACGTTTCGCAGCCTTTACAGGCTGCTTCGTCAGAATGATTTTTTATTTAATTTTGTCGAGCTACCTTCGAAAGACTTTTATTGAGCGTTCGGTTATTTCATTGTTCGATTTCTATTATCTATGTATGAATTTATTACTTAATTTAGTTAATAAAGTACTTTATTTAAAAATCTTTTTTGTAATTTTGAGTTTATTTAATTGACCCTAACTACCGTAAACTACCACCGCACCGGTTCCAAAATTGGGAGACCTTTCTGAGAAGAACCGGCGAAACAAACTCAAGAGAGGCTTTCTATCTCCTTCTTATGTTAAATTATGCAAACAAAAAGAACTAATAGTATCTGTTGGTCTTGCAGTGTGTGCTCGGGGTTGGGATGGCTGTTAGTACCATATCTAAAGGGTATTGTTTTGTCACCGAATGTTTTGTGTTACTACCTCAAGATTAGACATGCTAGGTATGACTAGGTAGGCATACCTAGGGCATGTCTTCAGACACGACTTACTATTTAGTGAAACTCATTATGATAGGCAAAATGCGGTGAAACGTCGAGTAGGCCGTCAGAAAAAGTCGTGGCTTCGAAACATCCCCGAGTGGATTGAAGTCAAGAGCTAGCTGATATCCAACCTTCAGTAATTGGAAAGGAACAAGAAGAAGAAGACAGATGACAGCTAATGCTATTGGTTCAAAATCATTTCCTTGATTGTGATTGGTTGTATAAAAAATCATGTGACGTTTTTCGTCATATTGTAACTATGTATACGAGTATGATAGTGACATTTAATCGTCTTATTACACAGCCGTTTTCAGTTATTCTTTATGTATTTTAATGGGTTTGCAATTAGTTTGCAATATCATATTGTAATATTCAAGCTTTTGCCTATCAGGTTTGTTTTTATGATTTTTATAAGTAGCTTATTGTAATTAATTTAAAGATGCACATTTACCTTAATATCTGTGTTGCCATTCATTTAATGTTGAAACGTAATTTTTTCGTGGTATAGTGAAGGTGAATAATAAACTCCATTTATTTTTGTGATGGATTCGACGTATTTTTCTACATATAAATGCATGATAATACTTGAGTGACAAAATTGGATAGAGTTGTTAATCTTTTCTTTACTGAAAAACAAAAATGGAATGGAAACTTTAAAAATGGATCCTTACTTTTCTGACCAGTGGACTCTTGGTTTCTAAGAATATTCATGAATTTCATAACACCATTTTCGATTCTAATTGGGTAAAATGGGTATCCAATATCGTTTTATTCTTTTTCAAATAATAAGACACATAACCTTACTTCTGTCATTTAAAAGCAAATACCATTAAACAGGAGATTTGGTTTAATATACAGTAAACCTATTTTAATAATAACTCAACTGATTGGAATTCTATGTCGAAAAAATTATTGTAATACCGTAATCTACATTTAATTGCCGAAACTTTCATTAGTTAGGTACTACTTCGGTGTTTTCTTTTTTTCTAGTATGTTAAGTACTATTAGTACGACCATATTTATCTAGCTAGGGAAGTGATGGCAGATTTTAAGTTGAGATTTCCCATTGCAGTGAAGTGGCAGCTGTCTGGGTAAATATCTACCTTACGTATAAAAGACCACAGAAAATTGATACTGCCCTTTAATGCTGAGTTTCAGTCGGCAAGCAGGGTTTCTAGAGCTCTACGGGGTAGGGGATGGAGTAAGGATATGTGGACGCTTACCATCAAAAAGGCCATATGTTTATTTACCACCTTGCTACGCTTACAACATAAGAAATGGGTGGTGTTATGAAACAACGATACCCTATTCCTAGCTAATATTACTCTGGCTTATGAAAAGGGGGAAAAATATAAAATGAAAAACCTTTCACTGCAGAGAATCGAACCCGGGCGATGTGATAACATTCATTTTATAAGATTAAATTGTAACAGCATAGGACCCTACATTTATTATCAGATGGTAAAAGATATGTTGGACATACCGTTAATAAGGAAAGATTATGCAATGAGCTGCTATTAACTGATGATCAATAGACCAACGGAAGCGTTTGCATTCTCCTTGAAATTAATAACAAAAACAATTGACAAGGCTTCGAATAGTCTAAAAAAATACAGCAAGGTAAGACCCAATCAATCTGTTGCGAGAATCATCCTCAATGAAACGAACGCATAACAAGGAGAATAACTACTGCCCCTCAACTCGCGAGTGAACAATGCAATGGGCGCACGTATGGATACAAAAGACGATGATTCAGGCAGGGAAAGCTTATGTTGTCGCAACGCTAGTCCCCAGTGATTCAAGCCCATGCAATATTTCCTACAAGTTGCAAATTGAGTATTACAGCAGGATGTAAAACGTTTTTACTCCATAGGTATCTTGTTTGTTTGCCTTGATCTGAAAGGACACCTACTTAGGCTCTAAGTCTAAGGGATACCTATAATAAATAAGTATTCTACCTATTATACATAATATTGTCGACTGTCGTCCAATTTGAAATATTTCATTATATGACAATAAAACCTCAACAATAAAAAAAAAACCGTCTGCGCAGTGAAATAAGTTGTCTGTTATTTGGTAGGGCTAAGATTTAGCACATTTAAAAATAAACACAGGCTATGCGAACTTGTGCCATTGTCATCACATGTGTGTAATGGACGCATATGTTCAAGTATCAGATAAAACGTTTAAGAGGGCACTCGACAAATGTTATCCATTGGCACATTTATAAACAATTCCTGATGTTACCCGGCATGGTATGATATCGGTGTCACGGCGCTTGCTTCTTAAAAGCCATAAAGTCACGTGACTGAAGATACCACGAATCGTTAGTCCGTCCGAGTAGTTTGTTACGACAACAGACGGAGTTGAAATTTCACCATAGATAAACAGTTGGGCAACAGACTGATAAGATACTTGTTTGAGAGACTTGCGTAAGAAGTAAATTAAAAAAATATATGGGCATTGGACATATAACTATTTAAGTAGGTACTAATACAAAAGGAGTTTCTTGACTGAAGCCTTAGTAAATAGCAGAACTAGTCTAGCGTAAAGAAGCTCGTCGGACAGAAATCGAAACGTATCAAATTGAAAATAATTTCACGGTCATTCTAAACAACCATCTCAAAATTAATCACGGAGTTTGAAAAACATACCTAACTTTAAAGACTGACGTCTTAACACATTTAAGTGTACCTACAACATAAGTAGAAAAACCAGTTAGGGAAACCATCTCGAACATTTTTTTGTTAGGACGCACGTTTCATTGACGGTTGGCCTTTAAAAAAACTTGCAGTTTTGTGAATTTTGTAAATACCCAGTTTCACAGTTAGTTTAATAGATTTTACTTAAGTAAGCAAATAATTTATGGATGATTCGAATCGGCTAGTATTCAAACCCTAACCATGTAGCCATCACAATGACAAAACAATGCATTCGTTGTTATTATTACCTGTGCGCAAAGCACTTATTGTATCAAAGTGTTCGAATAGGTACCTAGTTTATGGCATGCAAATCAAATTAGGAGACCTAAAACAATAACATATTTTGAGTTAGTAGTTTGCCAACTGCCCGTCGCTCACCGTGGTTCGCTGTTGAATAATTAATAAGTAGCTAGGTAAATTTGCATAATCAAATGAGTTTCGAACCATTTTGAAGTCAGCATTAGTCGGGATTTGTGCACGATCTAGAGGCTCGTGCGGTGACGAGCCTTGGTTCCCCATCTCTGACTTGGATTCTGAGACGACTTCCAGATAAACACTTCACTCATACATAATTCACTGTAACATCCGGAATCAGCGCTGCCCACAAACACGAGTACGTAATCAAAAATCTTCACTACACTTCATCTGTTCAATAATAACGTCTTTAACACAATAGCTATGATTTTTACTGAACACTATAAACAGTACGTAATAAAATTAGTCCTATTCCTCTTTTGATATAGTATCCGTGCCATAACAAGATAAAAATTTTGACGGTGATAGAACTGAACAAACATAGTAAAGCTAAAAGCAAATTATTTTAGTCTAATGTCACTTCAACCTTGTCGTCTTGCGTATAAAAATAATATGCTTATCGGCGCTTTACATTGAAACTTCGTAATCATCACTATCACTTGAATGATTTAACACTGCGACACCTGCAGCGATTTAGTATCACACTTAGGATATAAGATTTCGTATCACGAAATACGCTAAGTACGGTAATCTAAGATGCTGTCTCAGCAACAACACGGATCGTGAGAATTCGTTAACAATATTTTTTAAAACAGGGGTCAACTTTTCCCACAAACGATGAATAAACGCAGAGAGGCGCATTGAACCCGGCACCCGGCACGAGGGGGGAGAGAGCTTAGGTAGGTAGCTGGGAACGACTGTCGATGCCAGCTGAACGTTATTTTTTCCCACAGCATTGTTCTTTGGACCGTAGCGAGTAACGAATGTAAAACTAATCAAATTTTTTGTAATTACTACTGAAACTGATAATTTCAATGAATACGAACACAAAACTACATTTTGACTAGAAAAAAATTTGAGGAATGTCGAAGTCGGTGTAGAGAAGAGGCGCGCGCGCCGCGCACGGAGCGGACAAATGTCGTACTGACGGGTCGAGCCAGCCGCGGCCCGCGGCATGCGGCGTGAATCGCACAAACCCTGCAGTGTGGAGTCCCCGTCCCGACCCACTCCGCCCCGCGCAACCAGTCCTTTGCATTGTCAAGATTGACGACCGCTGAGATCATCATTCCAATGGCTGGGTTAATCCGAATTCGATACCTTACTTTAAAATTATTAACTAAGTCAAGTCTTAAACTTTGTTAATTTAGTCGGGAAAATATGAAAATTTCAAACTAGTGATCATTTATAACAGTGATATACGTTGGATTTACGGACCAGTTATTGCTTATAAGTTATGAAAATTCTCTAAAATTAAATACATAATAACTTATTAACTTTCATATAGCACGAGCTGCAGTCATTGAGGTGAAATTGGTCAATAGGTATGCGCCGAAGCAACAGCTGGAAGAGTAAGCACGTGCGAGAGGAACGGACGCAGGTGCGAATGTTTGAAAGTTTATTATTGGCTCCAACAGATGTCGAATTTTAGAGAGAAAATACAGCAGTCCGATACTCACTAAAATTTAAAACATACAGAAGGCATGTGCAATGAATTGGCCGGAGTAAAGTTCGATTACAAGGTTAAGTTTGTCTTTTACTTTATAAATGCAAAGCTGTTTTGATTTTGAGACGTATTTTTTTTCGTAACAGTGAATCATTGTGCCGACCAACTGAGTCATTCTCTTCTACTGGGTTATTTTTGTAAGGCCTTTGCTTAATTTCTGTAATACGAGTTCTAAAGAGAATAATTTCTCTTTATCTTCAACATTCTTGTGTCAACTTGGACCACACAACGATCACAGTGACTCACAGATACATTACTTAATATTTGAAGAGACATTTTAAATTTTCAACAAAGAAAACTGGATGTGAAAGTAATAATATACTGGTGTCAATTCTGACACGATTCTCTAAATTTAAACTTAAATTTGACAACAGCGTATCCTTGTCATTCTCTATACGGAATGAAAAGGAGATATTTGCCCAATGTCCTTTCCCTTTTAGAAAAAAATTACCATGAAAATCAACAAAGAGATGTATCTACCTAAATTAAGTAAGCTTGAAATTGTAAACGGAAAAGTTTTGTTATTTAATTCCAATTTCCAATAATAAACTTCATTTTGAGACCAAATTTACTGAAAGTACTTTATTATTTTGCAATACTTAGTTTATTCATGTCATTATATAGTAAGTTTTATTCATATTATTTCCTTCATGAGAACCAGTCACGTACAATACTGGCAATGGTGACAAATTATTCAACTGGAGTAACAAAACTACAGTACACGAAAAATACTTCATGAATTACTCATTTCCTAATTGATTCAAGCGCTTGTGTTAAATATAACAAATAAAATCTATTTCCTTATTCTGTTAATATTATTTTGTAATGTAGTCCTCCTTTTAAAGGGAGATATCGATATGATCGGTAATTTAATGACGCACTCTTTATCCATTAATTAACTAATTTAAGTCCATTTATCCGTTCCATCACTATCAATTAAAATATTTATGCAAGACCGGAAAAAAAAATGAGCGACCATTTTATTTGTATCATTCATTTATGATTATTATTAGGAAAGAAGTCAATAAATGATGTAGTTTACTTCAGCTAGCAGTTCACTTGTTTCGTATTTGTTATTTGTGAATTATCACGTTTTTTAATTTTTCATTGCTTAAATGTAGAGCATTATAATATAAGAATATAGGGGTACTTTTGGCATGTTTACAAATAGTAGAGCATACGCAATTTAAGTACTAGCATTACAGTGAATGCATAAGTCCTATTATTGTAAAACACACAGGATCCCAAAAATTTACCGAGCACAAAGTATCCTTATTCTCTACTATACCAAAACAGTAATCCAGGTAATAAACTGCCGCTGTGTTTTTATGTGGCCGAGTATCAAAACTCCAAATACAATTCTTTTGTATCGCTTATAGAGACAAATGCGAGGACAGTGACACTGTTCCGCAGTTAGTTACCGCAAAATAACGTCATTATTGTCTACTCCGCAACAATTTCCGTCAACTGGTTCATCCTGTACCGAATCACCGTTAACAGTGCTCAGGTCGCCATATTTCACTTAATTTGGATGGCCAACAATGAAACTAACAATGAAGTAAATGGTGTTCAAATGATCAACTCAGTAAGTAGAGCGTGACCGTGATTCTATTTTTTAACTATTAATTGGCATTTAGATGCAGATCGAACTATTAAATACGGCAATTCTTTTAAGACCCACTAGTATAAACTACTTACGTGCCCTAAGAGAATACCCGACATTAAATAAGAAATATAAATTAGATAAGAAATACTGTTTGTGTGTCAGTAAATATAATTAGTATGTATACTTAATGAAAATGACATCAACGAACAAAACTATACCTGCAAGCTATATAGACATCCTGAGTGCCTCTGTTAATTCTAAAGATACAAACAAAAATGAAATGATTTGGTAAAAATTAAATAATGTAAACATAACATGTTAACAGTAAACTTACTTTTATTTTAAAAACATGTAAAAAGTACGTGTGTTACGTATAGATACAGCATGTATGTACATTATTAAAGTGATTCATCATTTACACCTGCAAATTTAAAATTTAACGCAAATCATCAATAGTTATCGTCATTGACCTAGATGAGCAGATACGATCCATAATCATAATTTATCTACTAAGCAATAATGGCTCCGGCTAAGGTTTTTAGTAAAGTCCCCATTCAGCAAATTTTCTTACATCTCAATTCCAAAAAAGTTCATTATTTTATTTCCTTTTTATATCTCGAAAACGCGTGGAGGTACAGAGTTGAAATTTAAACCTTAACGATCACTTAGGTTAGGTTACTATAGCTGTAAAAAATAAACTACAAAGTTAAATGTAAAAAGATACGGCCGTTTATCTTGCGTATCCAAATATCGTTGTGCGTACCTACAAATTTGTACGGACCCACGGTGGGCAGTGCCGGCTTGCGCTAGTCCGGCTTTTTAGGGTTCCGTACCCAAAGGCTAAAAATGGACCATATTGCTTTCACTCTGTCGTCTGGCTGTCTATCCGTGTGTCACGAGTCTCTAGATCACAAATGGAAAGAGTTAAAGAACTGATTTTTTGGTATTTTATGTAGAATGTGGTAGCATGTTTACCCAAAGCCGAACATTTAGTTAAAAATTCAATAAAATTATTTTTAATAGGTGGCCCATGAAATACACGAAAAGGAGACGATTTTTGTTTACTTTTTTACCCCAGCATGTGACACATCATTGTCTAGAGCTCGTTTAGTAGGATATAAATATAATTTTTATTATTTTTTACTTTGAAAACAATGAAATGGGGAGCCGTCAAAGTTGTCATTTTTAGACAATTTTGTTACGGGGTCTATCTCAAAAACGAAACTAGCTGGGAATGTGAAATATTGGAATGCAATGTCCCATACGCTGTATTTAAACAACAAATACTCAAAACGCCAATTTATCATGCACTTTGTAAGTGGTAACGAAAACAAACAAATGATTTTTTCGCGGTTTGTTATACGGAACCCTACGTGCGCCAGTAGGATTCGCACTTGGCCGGTACTTTTTTTTTTCTTTCCCGGATTTTTTTTTAAGAATAGATGAGTAACCTTTTTATGACAAAGAAAAGAGACCGAAAGATATATAGAATCTGAACATATTATTGATCACCTAGAAGGCAATCAAAAATAGATTCTAGTTACAGCGTGGCCGGTCGTCAGCAAAATGTCAGACCAGCTAATAAATATTTATATCACACAGAAATCAATAAAGTAACCCTTATCGGTGTGCTTTGGACAACGGTGTTTTTTTACGTACATGGAGTACTGTAGGTGTAGGTACTTTGTTCTTTATAACGGCCACTGGACTATCTGTGGCCAAGGTTGTCATATGCGAGTGCGAAGGCGCATACAAAACAAGAAGTCGAGTCGCTGGGTAGTTACCGGTGTCTACTGAATTGTGATCACGTCCAAACACAGCGGATGCATGTGTGTGACCAGATTCGCAATGTTGCCTCCAAAAGGCTTCACAGCAGCAGTTACTGGTCAGCTTTGCGATCGGACGGATATTTACACGATTAAAGGTGACAAATAAATTCTTGTTTCAATAAAGCGTAGTGTGTTTCTAATATTAATAATACCTACGCAATATACACAAACTGGTTTAGTGTATTTGGTTGAACATCGTTCGCGTGCGAGTGCTAGAACGAAGACTCGAGTTTGAATCTGGAATCAGTTTTGCGGAAGTAAAAACGGCGCAATACGGGGACGAGGCCATGACTGCATGGACAATGTTTAGCTGGAGAAGATTATACAGCGGGCGTGCTGGCGAAAGCGGTGAGGAGAGCAAAATGGAACTACCAGCAGACACGAGGCAGTTGGTTTATAACGTGTACATGTACTTCAGTCGGCGCCCTGGTAGAACCGCTAAAGCTGCTCTAACCAAGACTGCGAGGGCCACTATGTTGCCGAGAGACATCGTCGCCGATATTATAAGGGAGAAATGTAGAGATTAAAACCGGTACGGATTCAGTTTAATATCTGTAAGTCGATATGCTAACGATACCTTATCAATGTTAAATATAAAAGTTAAAATATTTTATATTAAAGGAAGGGTGTGCACAGAACTTATGAGCCTTTATAACTAGTTTTTAGGAATAGTGTAAACGAAACACATTATTAACAGAGCACTTACTGAAACCTAGAGATGGTTTTAAGATCTACATACATCAAAGAAGTTAAAGCAACATGCATCTTTTACGCTAACTGCAAGTTGGGGCGGTTAATATTTTTTACTATCGTTACGGAAATGTATAAATTATTCAAACTTTTGTTTTGCTTTAGTCACTAAAATCAAATTGGTTATTATTAAAATAATTATAAATATATTAAAAATATCAAAATAGGTTAATAGTTCAAAAAAGTCCATGTTGTTTATTTAAACTCTTTTAATGAGTATATTTTATATTATACAAGTTAACCCAGTGAACTTCGTACCGCTATAAAAATAAGGGCTGGTGGTAGAAGGATGAAAATTTAGGGTTCTATTTATTTTTAATACCATATTATAAAAAAAATATTGTTGTCCAAAAATAAAAAATAATGTTAGGGGTGGACAACCCTTGTCACTTAGGGGTATGAAAAATAGATAGTAGCCTATTCTCAGACCTACATATAAAATTTCATAAAAATCGGTCATGCTGAGGAGTACAATGATTTGAATGATTGTATGATAACTAACATTGTGACACGAGAATTTCATATATAATTTCATGTTAAAATTAATGTTTCATTTTCTTAAATGGTTCTTGTCGTTTATTATTTACTCTGAAGTAGAATCAATCTAGATGTGGATATTTACGTAACAATTGACAGTTAATAGAATTAACTGTAAAACAATGATCTCATTGTTATTAAGGTTAGTTAAGGATTTCTTATTCATGTCTTAAATTAGACATAATTTAATTAATGTTATTATTCTATATTAAAACATTTTATTAAAAGAACAACCTTGTTCATTATTTATATTAGTTATTACGAGGAATGCGTTGATGAATATAACTAATGCCACAAAATAGATAGTACAGAGGGTAATCTCAATTACCTATGTACTTCAGTTTTTATACCTACGCTCGGTAGCCACGCTAGGATTGTCAACTTTTACTTGTACACAAAAATAATCGTGGTAGTTGTATACGTACGTATCCAGTTGTACGTTATATTTATTGCTGAGAATAATACAGGAACACCGGTCAAGTGTGTGTGCGTATCGTGCCACCGCAGTGTAGGGTTCCGTAGTTGCTAGTCGTTACCATTATATATTTCAGGTGTCTTAATTTTAAGCAATATATTTGAACAAAAATTAGCACTTTCAAGTTCAATATTGAAAATTGAAAATGAAAATTACATCTTTCAAGTAAACAAAACCACAATTGACGGAGAAATCAGTGAAGATGCATAAAAAAACATCGTGCGTGCCTTTGAAACTTGAAGGTTTC